TATGATAGATAGTTGGTATAACAGTAAGACACATGAGCAGATATTCTCAGGATTATACTCGAAAGATATCAGCTGATAGTCCTTTCTGTCCGTTATATTAATCGATGGGAAGAAATCAATGTGATTTCCTCAAAGATACCTTTCGCTCGTATGCCTCATTGCCGCAATAAAATTTTATCTGTCATAATGCAAACGAACCGTTGTAAAAGAGATTCCTCGCATCGTCCTCTTGCCCTCCATTTATCCGCGGAATACAAATTATCGTCAATCTCTGACCGCCTTAGGGCTATCACATATTTTAGAAATTCCGACGAATCGGAAATTAGTTTTTTTAAACTTTTATTATCACTATTAAATTCATAATCGAATTATATTCAAATCAATCAAATTGTGATTTAGATTATTTTTAATCATTTTTGTAGGTCGCCACTGTTTCTATTAAATATGCCGTTAATTGAACTGAAATAATGGAATTAAACAACTTATATATATATAATTCAAGAAAATGTATTTTTTTAAACTCTAATTTATTATTTACTAAGCGCATACATTAATATGGCCGTTATTTATTTTAAAGTTAATCACAGAAACGAATTGATTTACATTTTGACAAACATGAAAGTTAAAAATAACAAAATGTTATTTAACTCAAGGGATTTAATTACATTTACTTCTTTAACAATACAAAAATTCCATTTTTCGATTAATTTCAAATTAACTTTTGAAATTTGTTTTATTTCCAGACATTTTGAAAAGTTGATATTTAATAGGCTGCAACAAATTATAGTCCTTCGCGGCAGCTGCGACATAATTACACGAGTTTATTACATCGAAGATAAAACGTTATCCGAGATCATTCTCGAAATCATCGGCGTCGTCGAAATTACGCAATGCTTAAGATGCGACAGCGCGATATCCATCGAGACACAAACCTTAATTTCCAAGATATATCGCCGTCTAAACACGGACGTGTTCTCCACCGCGCTAACCGCGCCTGATACACCCCGACAATTACTCATCCCGTGGTTTTAATGAAATCCGCTATGATTTAACATTATAGAAAAGTAGTATGCGCCGCACGAACAAGCATGCGTACGAACTGAAAGGTGGACGGGAGGGAGGACGTGACGTACGGGGACGAAATCAAAGCACACGCGAAAACCGGATGCGCAGGTGAAGTCTCAGTAATAGGGGTACTCGCAATTTACATATGTATCCACCAGCCTAGCATATACGCGAAGCAGTCCTTAGAGTGTATCCCCGTACGAGACGAACGATGTACGTTCTATCTATCCCTCGTTCCTTTTTTCTTCTTTCCCCCATCTCTCTCTTTTCCGCCTTTACAAGTCTCCGTTCCTTTTTTTAACCTTTTACTCGTATTACCTACCTAAGAAGTACACCGATCACGTACAAGCAGCACGCAATGCGACACGACGCATGCTTGTATTATTCCGAAATTCGACCGTCAAGCGTAAGCCTCTCTCGATTCGGTGCCACTTATAGCTCTAATCGATATTCGCCGGTCCAGTGAACTTAGACATTTTTTTCAACCACATTGTGAAAAAATTATTTATAACAAACGTCGTTCACAACGTTATATAATTTTAAGTTACGTAGTTTTATTTCTTGGATTTTGACTTAAATAAAAAAAAAAATCGTTCAATTACGTTTTTTAATTTTAAGCAAAGATTCATTAATTTTTGAAGTACTGGACATCAAGAAAATTTCGGAATATCGATTAACATCATGCGTGCGTTTTCACTTCTTCTCGAAAGCAACGGGCAACACAGCGGAAGTTTCTTTTTGTGAATCCTCAGGGCTCCAACAAGATGAAATTATGTATTCTACAAGTATTATTATGTCGGTTTCGCTCGAAATGCTTTAATGAGAAAACGATATTACGTCGAACATTTTGTTCGATTATTTGCGGCATTACGTATACACGTCGGTTATCAATTATGTCATATATTATAAGTTATTATTATTACAAGCTTCATTTAGCAAGCAGTTTAGAGAGAAATGCCTCGAGTAAGGATACGATAGAAAGAAAGTTGCAAGATTTATTTCAAATTTCAGAAATAAATAATCATTGTGTAAGTACACGTGACATTACTATGAGGTATAAAATTATGACAAGGAGTTGCTGTACAGTTCTAGTGATAATTGACTAAAATTTTTTTATTCACAATTAAAAATTAGACTTAGCGAAATATTATAATGGTTTCAATTTCTGGAGCACTGAACCAAAACTGTACGTAAATACAATAAAATATTCATTGAATTACGAAAAAATAATGAAAATTGGTCCAATGAATTCTCATAATGATTTAGATTATAAAACTATCATTAGAATTCATTGCAAGAATGAATATACGTATAGTTGCATAAATGAATCCAGTTATTGTATCAATGAATTGTATCAATGAATTAACTACATTAAGTCGGACATTAAGACGGACATTGATTAACGATTATTTATTGGATCAAAAATGAACAAAATTTTTTTCAGTGAGGAAACAAAAATTTATTGGAATCTCGGTGATTACAATTAATTCACTTATAAGCTCGTAAACGTAAAAATTTATTGCTAACGTCGAATCATAAAAATTTGACCGAGTCGCAAAGAGAAATATTCGAGACATACTCGAAGAATAGTTTCACGACGCATGTGATCAATGAATACTATTAATACAGCGGAGAGAAAATTCAAGTGAAACGTACACAGGATGATAGTGAACAAGATGAAGATTGCACAGACAAGAAGAATAGCAACACGCTCGCGGCGCGGTATTTCATCGCCGTGAAATCTATGTTTGCATTTCGCCGGGAATGAAGTTTTCGCCCAGATGATCGCGCATAAATTCATTGTCTAGACGGTGCAGGTATGCTAGACGCAGAATTGCGGCTACGGAATCGACTACCACATTCACGCGCTTGAGATTTTTCCGCGCAAAAACTCACGTATATATGCACGTACGTCGGTGGTGCATTGAATGATCAGATCTTCGGTCCGTTCGTGCCTGTGCAAACAGCCGCCGAAGAAAATATTTGCACAGGATAACTCGGGTCCTCATTATCGGGGTGGCTGGTCTTTCTCTCTCAGGGACGACGGTTGTCCAGGTGCGCGAAGAGGAACGTAGAAGGAACACGTAGGTAAAACGAGGACAAGAAAGAGGGAGAAAGAGAGAAAGAGATAGAGACGGAGGAAGAAAGGGTGGAAGGAGGGAGATTGATTCGACATGCATAAATTAGAGAGGATGAGCCTTTATTCCATAGCGCGACTCACGGGATCGGGATCGGGATTGGAATTGGGATGCACGAGAGAGGAGAGTATAAATTGATGACTGCAGGCAACAGGCAGGGGTTTATAATAATTAATCTTCGTGCATGTATACGTATTTACGATGTAACCCTCCCCTCCCCCTCGTCCTTCGTCGCCCGTCTCCTCGTCATCTGCTCCGACCCGGTGGCAATGCGCGAGATTTCTTTCTCGATCCGCGATTAAGTTTATCCCTGACGTGCGCAGACAGGTGATGCGCGTATTGCAAAAAAGCTAAGCGTCAAAATGTAAATTTGGAAATAAAAACCATGCAATGAATAAAATTCTGTAGCTTGGATTTAAAAAAATATATTCGTACGCGCCATGTTAGAACCATAAAGTATACTTAAAGAAAAGATTGGCTGCTGCAGCAAATTAGATGGTAAAATATGGCATAGCATTTTTAATTTGCTGCAACAGCCAATTTTTGGTTGCAGTTGAAGCAGCCAATTTTTGATTGCGTTAGGCTATGTCAGTATAGGATTTCCATAGGCTAATCAAAAATTGGCTGCTGCAACCAATTAAAAATGCTATGCCATATTCAGCCAATTTTTTCCTTCGGTGTAGGAATAGAAATTTTTAAGAATTCCTACTTATCTGCGATTTAACTATTTCAATAATCATAAAAAGTAGCTAAGTGAAATCAGCCTAATTGCCACATGACGCTTAAACATTTTTCATTGAAATGCAAGCTCAAGTATACGTCTCGTACGCGCACTCTTGTGAATCTTGTCGTCATTGATCGTCCCCGCAAAGCAGCCGGAAGGTATTACTTCGGCGGAAAGTAACGACTGGTGACAAATATCCAGGTGGCTAGGCAAAGAGTCGAAAGCGCGTACGTTCTCTCTCCTTTTCTCTCGCACACGCATGGTGCGATTAGATATCACGATGTACGCGACGGCAATAAATTACCGGCATAACCATCCGCCGATGCGCGATGCACTTCCACCGTTGGTGGTCATTGCTAAATTGAGGAATCATCAGTGTGGCTTATGCGCCGCGATTATCGCTAATTGATAAATTCGATGGGTCCGTTGTAATTTATTACATTCTACCGGGCCCGGTTATTTCTAACTGTTATCCTGCGGCACATTCATTACCACAGCCTTCGGGGGAAATCTTTTTCTTTTCTTTTTTATGCGACACGTTGCAGTGTCGCTTATAGTCGTCGCCAACAGCAGAAGAGAGAATTGGCTGCTCGATGAAAATTGTCGGCTGTAGATATACTATATACTTCCTTTTCCTGATAGGTTTATAGAACATGTTGTTCAAGCGACATTGAAAGCATGAGTCTTATATCTTTACTGAAGAGAGACAGTTAGTTATTATATCTTCTATTAACTCACGTTAATTACATTTTATGTCGTACCCTAACATAGTAATTTTAATGGACTTGTAAGTGATAATACAACTTAAACGTCATAGTAATTAAATATTTATGCAATTATGCTCCGTAAGATTATCTGCAGTCGAGTACTTGTGGTTTCAGTAATTAAACGAATCTTTATTTAATTACAGGCGACGCAGTCGCAGCGAGGAGGACACCAACGGTACCGTCGTCAGCGACGACGCACAGCAGCAGCAGCAACAGCAGCAGCAACAAAGTTACGTCTCAGGGCAGCGTGAACCGGAAGAAGAGGAGGAATTGGGAGCGGAGGAGGCGGCGGCCCAGGCAGCGGCGCAAACCCTGCAGAGTGGCGCCGAGGGCGCCGATCCGGAAGTTCACAAGAGGGTCGCGGTGCAGGTGCAGGTTCAGGGTATGGAGGGTGATTGGCGCGCCTACTGTGAGCATCCGCTCTCCGTAGCGACCGCGGCCATGCTAAACCTTCAGCAGCAGCATCAGTCGGCGGTAACTAACCACAATGATGATCCTGCCGCGTCCTATGTCTATGAATACTACAAATTGCCCGAGAAAACGGCGGATGTCAAACTACCGCCCACGCATGAACTATGGTCTACGTAAGTGTTGATTTTGTCATTGTGCAAAATTTAGAATGACTCGAAATGTGGAATCATATAATATACATTATATACAATATATAAGCGCGCGATATAGAGAAAATTTTAAGAGATTTCTGACAACTTTCCGCAACTGTTGAAATTATACATTTTTATTTCTCGTTATATGTACTTCTAAACTTTTTGAAGTCTCACTCTAAAGAGTAAAAATCAGCCATAAAAAAGAGTGGCTCAATTTTCAATCTTTAAGAGAGAGATTTTTTTCTTTACAGTGAGAGAGATTCACTCTAAAAGTTTTAAAGAGCAGTTGATCAGTATCTTCAAATCTTTATTTACTTCTTGTTACACAAATATCTTTTCATTTTTCATAATACCGACTGTTTAATTCTAAAGTAAAATTTTGTCATGTGTGAATTTTATCTCCTATAAAATTCAACCAGAGACAACGGTCGCTATTATGCACGCTTTATGCAACGTTCTCTTGCTACTTTGAAGTTTCGCGGGTACCTCGCTATCTCGCTATTTCAGATTCTCATCCGCACGTGTAAGCTTCGTAATCATACGCGAGGCGAAGGAAAGAAACGCGATTTTCCACGGCTCGATCCACGGAATATAATCACGTTCATGCGAATGCAGGAAGATTTTATACGCTTCTCGCGCATTTAAATAATTCAGGAATATTCGCGTTCTCGAGACTCTCCGTTAAGATTAGCTGAAACTTTTACAGAGTCTGGAACAGAAACAATTTCCTTAAAAATGACTTTGAAATTGAATATTATTACAGTAATAAAGGGCTCTAAATAATGTAAATTAAAAATATATAAAATGACAGGGTATTTAAGACCCAACCGCAGAACTTGTTGCGAACACTGTTAAATCTATAGTGTTAAATTTGACCTAACGTGAGTCGTCACTGCTCCTACTCAATCATATCGTTATTTTATAAAACAATGGTTATATTTGACATTATACAGTGTCAAATTGACACTATATAGTATCAAATTGACACGATATCGTGTTATATTTAACTATTTATAACATTTTGGTAAAAAATAACTATATATTTAGTAGGAGTAGTAGCGACTCACGTTAGATTAAATTTGACACTATGGATTGAACAGTGTAAATTAATTATATATATTCTAATAATAATTACACAGAGTTGTTATTCAAACCTAAACTTGTAAATTCAAACTCTTGACATGTTTCGACTACTTGTTCGAGCCCTCTTTAGAAACGCAATAAATTTACAAATATGACTTCTCAAAGTAGATCACTTTTTAGTAAGTTATTCCCAGAATAATTAAAGCTGCTCACATAATGGAAGACCGTGTGAAGAATCTGAACAAGCGATAGTGGACAATTTATAGTCGTTCAAACATAACGGACGTGTCAATAAGTAAAAAAACTTTAAGTCAGTCAGTGTAATAATAAAAAATATAAAATTAAATACGATAAATATAAAATTAAATAAGAATTGTGTAATAAAAAACTGATAAAAGATCGTATACTAAAATATTACGTCCGTAGTCAGAGGATAAAATTGATTGTAATAACTTAAATAAAATATAATAAATTAAATTAAATTAAATATAAATGTACACAACACACAACGGACAAACACTGACTACTATAGACATAAATACTTATAACGAATGAAGTCTGAATAAGATTGAAAGGCTCATACATTAAAATAAAATAAATTTTTGCAATACTATCATCTTAAAATAATGTGCCAATTAAAATAATAACAATTTATCTATTTTTAAAAATTAAATTATCTCTTGCGTTTTACCTGCGTATTTTTTTATGTAATTTTTTTATACAATTATTACTCTCTATTTCCTTCTCTCTCTCTCTCTCTCTCTCTCTCTCCCCCTTTCATTCATATTATAATAATTTATATAAAAGAGGAACTGAGAGGATAATTATTTTTCTCGATGTTTTTGAAAGTGCATAGCCTTGGTAGAGCAATCTGCAAAAGTACCTTTCGCGCCGCTCTTGCATGTAACGCACGTAATTTTATGCACTTGCGCGGCTCTTCTTCGCTCGATGCACTTAATTTAGAAGCGCGCTGGCCGCGCGCGTGCACGTGGCTCATCCATAAAGACGTGCGTGTGCGTGACGGCTATACGTACCGGGTGCATCGGGAGGACTCGATTAGCGTAGATCCGCAGATAGTCCCGCGTCCCGATGTTACAGCGAACACTCTTAGCGCGTTATTAGCTATTCGTGTTTCGCCGTATCTCGATTAATAGCCTCGGCCACGTAATTGAGCGCTCGCGGTGAGCATAATTCGTTACCGCGACCGATTGCGCGGAACAATCGCGTGTAAAATCGACTAGCGCGGAGAGACGTTTGACGCGTTAATTAGATGATTCGCGTTGTACCAAACGTAGATATATTTCTATTATCTTAATTGCGAGATAAACGCAAAGAAGGGCTATGCATCAGTCCGATACTGATATAATACCTTTGAGTTGTTTTCTCTTTAAATATGTTATTGGATGATGAATAAAATTCTTGTTAATCGAATCGCATGAATATTAAATATCTAATGTTAAGATAAATGTAAAATTGTAAAATTGTAAAATTGTTGATATCGCAAGAAAAAGGCATAAAATGATCCGAACTTTTCACACGAGGTCTATTTACGTAGATTACATTTACGAAGTTCGAGAGAAAATAGCAATCACAATTCTCTCTTCAAGAGTTTATCGATATTCCATAAATCTCTCGTACCTAAATGAGTACGCAGCGTGCCGTCGATAAATAGGCCTTTCTTTCCCTCTCTCCTTTCTCTCTTTTTCTCTTTCTCTCACTCTCACTCTCACTCTTTCTCTCTTTCTTTGCTCATACAGAACCGCGAACGTTCCCCGATTCTCTACATCACTCTCTTCTATATTACTTCGAAGCAATTTAGTGGAGTTTAGTTGGGTAGATATATTGCTCTCCAGTCGAGCCTATTTATATCTCGCGTTCGAGTCTTCCGGTCCATTTGCTCAGTTTGCAAACTGCACCATCGCATCGGCGTTCTACGCCTTGCGTTTCTCCCTTGTTCCCGATTCGTGATAGGGGTCTCTCCTTATATTTTGGGTTCGGTCTACTCACGGAGGATGCGGAGGACCCTTACCCCTTGCACCGTGGAATCCGGGAGACGCAGGCGACGGGTAAAGGACTCTCTCTCTCTCACCCCTCGGGGGACTCGCGCGGGCCCTACTTTTGATTTATATCGGTCGCTTAGCATATTTTGTAATTTACTGTTGAGAATCCTCAACGTACGAATCACGTCAGATACGAGGGCAGCTATGGAGAGCGTGATGGTGCGGCGAAACGCAGCAGCAAGAGCGACTGCGGTGCGGCATCAAGAGCATCACCAACAGCAGTTTCTGTTACCGACCTCGCCGTGGGGAGATGCCGCCCTAATCTTCCCTCGCATCTTCTCCTTTCGCCCCCTTCGCTGCCCTCCCTCCGTGTCTCTCTCTCTCTTTCTCATCTCTCTCGCGTCGTATCATCCTATCTGCTTTTCTTACCCCCGTTCTCTCTCCCCGCTGAGAGATGATAGCATCTCGACAATTTGTACGGCGGTAGATCGTTAAAACTCCTCTCTTACTCTCAAGTCGCGTCGCTGCGGAGAGAGAACGAGCCAGGCGAGAACTAACAAGGGCACGACTTTAATCCAATTTCATTGTGTCGCATTCGCTGAAGGGATCAGACGCTTCTTTGGTCGCGACTGTGAAAATAAAGGAAAAAAAAATGAAATGGTTGACACGAACACGGTTCAGAGGAAATGTATATCTCATCGTGGAGAATGTAGAATGAATTCGCGCGTAAACTGATGTACTTATTTTCATTATATAGCATACGTACAATCGAAACGTACCTAAGTCGTTGATGCATCTTTTTAGTGTCGTTGAAATACATGCAAAAAACGCGCTGAAATTTTCCCACGATTTTTCGAAACAAGACGAATTTGTACAATAAAAGTTCAAACTTCTTTCTCGAAACTTTAAATTAGAAGAAGGCTTTAAATTAGACAAGCTGGTTTATTGCAATTATTGGAGAAATGTAATGAGAATTGTAATGACGTTTTTACGATAACGATTCATGATTTTACGATGACAATTATTAATAACGAGTAAAGTAAGTCTCTAAATCAGAGTCTCAATCAATCGTGTTTCATCAGTTATTCGTAATTAAATTAGAAATTAAAAACTAAGGGATGAACTTTCAGGAATAAGATAACTTTAAAAATTCCACGTATCTTGCTTTCAAGCCGAGTTTGATTCTCTAAAAATACTGAATTTATGATATTGATCCTAGAATATAACATTTATAATAGCTTTTTCGACACGAGAAGCAATGTGGGATCCTTCGAGTGTACTAAATTATAACGTTATCGTGCCCAACATAAGATTCAGAAAAATATGCGGAACTCGGCGCGATCACGCCGAGAAACGGCCATGTCGTAATTCGAATAATGGACCTGCTGTGAAACTAAGCACCAGGAATATTCTGTTCTGTTCAATTAACCATATTGTTGTAACCGCATAAGGATACCATTAGGTGTCCGCGAGTTTTTAAACGTTCGATTCATAGAAGCAGGGCCGCATCTACTGTAAAGTCAATGAGACATCAGTTTTGATTTAATCATTATAGAAATGCCCTCGTTCCTTTCTTTAGTCCGCTTTCCTGGCACGTTTCTTATCCAGCTATATCTATTGTCAGATCATTATCCAAACGCGAGATTGTCATGACGTGTTCTTTTAAGAGAACTTGTCGCAATTTTCATGAGGCTCAATTCCTTGAGTGTGTCAGATCCCGAAGTATATGGAGCCGAGTCTGCAGAGGAGGCGGATTGCTCGCCAGGACTCTTACGGAGTCTGGCGGTCGCTTAAGGTTCGCCACGGGGTTGTAGAATGATGGCGCAAAGCCATCGAGAATCGGCGTACGGTTTCACAGCAAGCCGCCGCCGTAAAAGACGGTCTCCCGGTACTCCG